CCGTGGGTGCCCTGCTCGGCTCGCTGCCGGCGCCGCGGTCGCGGCAGACGCTGCTGGTCTCGGCCACCATCCCGCAGCCCGTGCGGGACCTCGCCAGGCGCCTCTGCGGCCCGGGCCACCGCGTGATCGACTGCGTGGGCGACGGGCCCGCGACGCAGGCTCCGGGCAGGGCCGAGGGGGGTCACCACTCCGGGGGGGGAATCACCGCCTCCTCCCCGGGCGCACTTCGACTCCTCGTCCTCCCGCTCGGTTCGGTTCGATCTCGTCCGATTCCCATTCCGAATCGATTCGACTTTGTATCCCGATGTGGGTCTCCGTCTCTCAATGGAGGCCTTGCTCACCTGCCGGTTTCCGCCGATTCGACTGCTCCCGACTTAACTGCCGGCTTCCACCAATCCGATTCATTTCGATCGCCGACCCGACTTCTCGATTTGATTCTGAGCTCTCTTGCCTCCTGGAGATCGAGGACCGGGGAGGTGGGGTGGTCGCGGATGGAGGAGGTCTTCGACGTTCCTGCGGCGTTCTCGGGGGGGTCTAAAGTGGGTCCAGGGTCCAGGGAGGTTCGTTTCTTCAAGCAGGCGGCGACCCCTCACCAGTGGTGGACCCCCCCCCTCGGCGTTGTCTGGACAGGACGCCGTCGTGCAGATGTACGCGGTCGCGCCCGCGCTGCTGCTGCCCACCGCTCTGCGGAACGCGCTGGAGCTGGAGAAGGAGGAGATTCGGCGTCGGTCGCCGCCGTCGGCGTCGTGGCTCTGGGCGCTCTCCCGCGCGCCTCTCCATGGAGGTTCTCTCGCCGCCGCAGCCAGCGGCGCAGCTCCCAAAGCCTGCCAGGAAAGGCCCTTTGGGATCCTCGAGAGTCAGAGAACCCCCAAGGCCTAATAACATAGTGCAAGCGTGGCCTCACTGAGGTCCCCGTCCTCAGACCCCCTCGGGTCATGACAAACATCACGGAGGGAGTTTTTTCCTATATTTTCGGCCTCTGGGGGCCCCTACCGGTCCTCGGGGCTATCAGAAACCGACTCAGGATGAAAATCCGGTTCCAGGGAATGGGTCCAGACCTCTAGGGGTCGACGTCATGAACAAAATCACGACGTCGGGGGTCTGGGTCTTTGCACTCGGGAGAGTAGATCTGTGTGGTTTGATTCGATACATTTGCAGACAAAGAGCCACCGTCCCTAATGCGGTTTGCCCTCCTAACTGAGGTCCCCTCCCAGAGGGTTAGGGGTCCTGTTTTGGTTAGGGGGTCCCGGGAGGCCGCTATGCGGCAGATTCTGGCGGTGGGTTGCGTGAAAAGGGGCTGCGTTCCAAGACGGCGGGGGCCTTTGAGAATCTCAGAAGTTACGTGGCATCTCCGGGGGACCTCGTCTGTCCCCCAAATCGGTGTTTTTTCTTGTGCCCGACGCGGGCTCAATGCAGCTTCGACGCGGATTTTGCGTGGTTTCGAAGTGGATTCGTCACGGATTCGACGAGTCCCGCATGGATTCGACAAGGATTCGACGTGGATATGGGCGTGACTGGACAGACAAGGTCCCCCGAAGATGCAACTTAACAGAAGCCCCCCCCACACCATGTCAGGAGGGTTCCTTGCTTTCTCATCAGCAGGCTGGATACCCAGACCCCCTCGAGTCATGAAACAATCACTACGGGAGGTTTTTCTATACATTTGTCGGCCTCTGGGGGCCCCTGCTGGTCCTCGGGACCGTCAAGAAACGACTCGGGATGAAACAACCGATCCCAGGGAACGGGTCCAGACCTCTGGGGGTCGACGTCATGAACAAATCATGACGTCGGAGGTCTGGGCACGCATGATGTGGCAACCCTGGTCGAGAGCTGGATCAAAAATGGCCAGGTGTCCTTCCGGCGCTCGGCCCTTCTATGGATGGACATCCCGGACTTCCGCAGGTGGATCCAGCGTGTGGCCTCCAGGTTTGCTGAGAAAAGCATGGCCGCATCCGCGGCCTCGCGGGCCGGGCCCCTGGGCCGCGACCCCGCGGACACATGGGGCGTTTCTTCGCGGAGGCCCCCGCGCGGAACGTGTCCGTGCGACCGCGTCTCCGCGGGATCGATCGCGCCCCGGAGTCCAGTCCGCGAGGGCGCGGATGTCGTCGGGGGGGTTGTGATGTTGTGATGAGACACGGGCGGTGAAGAAGAAGAAGAAGAAGAAGAAGAAGACCTTCAAGACGGGGCCCTCGAGGGTCCCTTTTAGGCACTTGCTGTCTCCAACAGGGGCCCGAACAGGCCCCTTTAGGCCACCGTCCTTCCCCCCCCGTGTGGGCCCCCCCCCCGCCACCACCCGCCGTGGACCTGTTCGCCGCTCCTGACAGGTGCTCTGCACGTGGATGTCCAGCCACGCGTGCCTCTCTCCCGCTCCCAGGCGGCAAGCCGCCCTCCCTGCCCCCCCCCCTGCCCCTGCCGGCTCGCGCCGCGGAGGAGAACCCCTCGAGGCACAAGGCGATCGTCTTCTTCCCGACCGCTCGGCTCGCGGCCTTCATGGCGCGGGTGTTCCGCGACCGCCTGAGGACTCGCAGAGGAAGCAGCTGCGCACAGCCGGGACGCTGAAAGAAGGAGCCGCTCCGCTCTGGGCTCGCTCTGGGTGCCAGACAGAGAGCTTCGTTCCATATGATCTGGCGTTCCGTGTTGCAGCAGCCCGACAGCAACTCGAGTGGGGCATCGAGTACAGAATTGATTTACCCCAGAAATGATTGCCCGTCGAATATACGAACGAAACCGTAGAGCGTTCTACACCGCATCCTACGCATGTCTTGTAGACTTGACGAACACATCAATTCTGGGGTAGATCATTTGTGTCGCAGGTCCCCTACACTCAAGCAACCCCCCGGAGCTCCGCGCAGATTCCCTGCACCTGCGCTGCGGGCCACCCGGCGCAGCGCCTCTCCGGGCGCGCCCCGCGCTCCAAAGGGCGGGGGCCTCCGAGCGCCGACCCCCCGGGAGCTCTGCGCGGAGCCTCGCCGAGCGCTCCTCGGAGTGCCGCCGCCCCCTCTCTCTGCCGAGGATGCGCGTCCACGAGATCCACGCGCGCGTGGACGGGCCGCTGCGCATCGTCGCCCAGCACGAGTTCGCCCAGAGCCCCTCCGGGGTCCTCTTCACCTCCGCGGGGGGCCCCCGTCGGCGGACCGCCCCCCCCCCCTCCCCCACCGATCCCCCCGGGCCCGGCCCAGGACCCATGGCCTCCGACGCCATGGCTCTTCCGCTCTCACGGGGTGGCTCCCTCTCCCTCCTCCTCCTCCTCCTCCTCCTCCTTCCCCCTCCCCCTCCTCCTCCTCCTCCTTCCCCTCCTCCTCCTCCTCCTCCTCCTCCTCCTCCTCCTCCCCTCCCCCCTCCTCCTCCTCCTCCTCCTCCTCCTCCTCCTCCTCCTCCTCGGGCCCCGAACAAATATTGGCCTCTCACGGCCTGGGGCCTCTCACGGTGTGGCCCCCTACCAAGAGGCCCGACGACACGATTGTTTCATGGCGTCGACTCCCAGGAGTCTGGACCCATTCTCCGGGGACCGGCTTTTCATCCTCAGCCGTTGTTTGACGGCCCCGAGGCCCGGTAGGGTTGTGGAAGCCGATGATACTGGAGAGGAAGCCTGCTGCCAAAGGATGTCCAGATGTCTGAAACAGGTTTCAAACATGTTTTAAACATGTAAAAACCATGTTTGAAACATGTTTAGAACATGTTCAAAACATTGTTTAACACATTCATAACTCAATGATAGGATTGTTAAGAGTGTCCATTGTCATGGTATCCACAACGGGAGAGGCCGAAGATATGGAAAAACTTCACGTCGTGATTTTTTCATGACTCTAGTGGGTCTGGGAAGAGGCCCGCCGCCCCGAGCAAGTCTTGGAGCGGCGGGCTCGGGGCTGCTTTTCGGCCTCCGGGGGCCCTCGCCGGGCCTCGGGGCCGCCCCCCCCCCCCCCCAAAAAGAAAAACGACCCGGGGCGAGAAGCTGGCCGTGAGGGGGAGTGGTCCAGACCTGCGGGAGGGGGGGGGGCCCACGCATCGGCAGCGTTGGAGCGGCCAGATGCCTGGTTCCGACGTCGTGGCTTTTTCTCACGGGGTGGCTCCCCAGAGCGGTGGACCCCGTCGAGGGGACCAGCTCTGCCGCCTGAGCCCGTTTCTGGACGGTCCCGGGCCCGGCGGTGGCCCGCATAGAGGCCGCAAGTTGCCAGACACCGTCCGTCGTGTCTGTTTCGTCTTTTTTGCCTCTGTGGCCGCGCAAGTCAAGCCACCCCGCTCGCACGCGGGCAGGCCCATGAAGGGCGCGAGGGGAAGAACAAGTGTCACTGCACGCAGGAGGCTCACGAGCAGAAGTCGCCCGTCATGTCTGCCCGGGCAGCATTATCGTGCGCGGCTCCTCGCGCGGCCACAAGTGCACAAGTGCGCGGTGTCTGGCAATTTGCGGCTTCTATGGGGGCCCACGCCAGAACCGGGACCGTCCAAGAACGGGCTCAGGCTGCGGAGCTGGTCCCCTTGGAGGAGTCCACAGCTCTAGAGAGCCACCCCGTGAGAAAAAGCCACGACGTCGGAACCAGGCATCCGACTGCTCCACTGTTGCCGATGTGTGGGACCCCGCGTAGGTCTGCAGAGCTGGCGCTTATCGCCCCGGGCGGCCTTTTTTTTTCGCTGTTGGACGGCCCTGAGGCCCGGCGAGGGCCCCCGGAGGCCGAAAAAGTAGCCCCAATTCCGCCGCTTCAAGGAGCTTGTTTTTTCAACTCCAGCAAGTTTCCGAGACAGAAATTTATCCATATCCACCGCTTGGAGGGTCAGTTTTCGGAGCCTCAGCAGGCGGTGGATATGGACATATTCGGGCCCCCGGGGGCCGAAGTATATCCATATCCATCCACCGCCCGCTGGGGCACCAGGACGTCGGTTCCCAGGCTGTGGATCTGGATAAATCCCCGCCTCGCAAAGTTTACTTGCATGGACGGGGGGGGCCTTGAGCTTTGGCTAGCCTGAGGTAAGCCGCAAACAAATCGCACGTGCAGAACCCACGCAAGTGGAATGTGGAAAGGCACTTGCACGCCAATGTTCGTCTGAAGAGGGGGGGGGGGATTGCCGTGCAAGTAAACTTGCCTGAATATTTAAAAGAACAGGCTCAAGATTTGTTCGGGGCGTCGGGCCTCTGGTCAGGGCCGGTGAGTCCGCTGGCGCCCCCCGGACCCTCGGGGGTCTCCGGCCGGGGCATGGACTACCCCGACGTGACGCTCGTGGTGCAGGTGCTGGCGCCGGAGAGTCGAGACCAGTACGTGCACCAGGTCGGGAACGGAGAAGTCTCGTGACACGAGGGCGCTCTCGAGGGCACGAAGTTCTGAGACCCCCTCGAGTCATGAAAAAGTCACGACGGGAGATTTTCCCATCTCTTCGGCCTCTGGGGGCCCCTACCGGGCCTCGGGACCGTCAAAAACCGACTCGGAATGAAAAGCCGGTCCTGGGGAATGGGTCCAGACCTTTGGGGGTCGATTCTAGGCTTCCTAGATGGGGCCCGAGTAGATGGGGTCGGAGGATCGCTGCGCATCGCCAATGCATCGCCGATGCGGCTCGATGTGGAGCCCGTGTTTCCCCACGCCATCGCCGACGTCGCCGATGCATCGCCGATGCATCGCTGATACATCGGCGATGCATTGGCGATGCGGCGCGATCCTCCGACCCCATCTACTCGGACCCCATGTAGGAGGCCTCCATCGACGTCATGAAAAAAATCATGACGTCGCGGGTTCGGATCATTGGCGCGTCGCGGTTCGCCTCGGATTCCGCCTCCCTCCACCTCCACCTTTCATACCCTCCAACCTCCGAGGCAGGTGCGGAAGAAGTCATCGACGCTCATAGAGACCTTACGTCATTCAAGGGTACCCACATAGATCATCTCGGAAAGAAGGCGGAAGGTCAGGGCGGAAGGTCCGGAATAATGAGGGGGAGGGCTCGTCCTCCTCTTCCCCCTTTGGGGGGCGGCGCGAGAGCGCAAAGTTCTTCGCGCTCCGCGCGAGGCGCGAGGCGCGAGGTCAGGCGCCCCTGGAAGGAGACCCAAGCATCAGGCGGCGAAGAGCAGGAAGAGTCAATGGATGAAAAACCACCCGGACCCGACAATTGACGTGTACTACACAGTCTTGGGCGTTTACTAAACAGCCCTGCCCTGTTCCATTCCTTCTGTGGGTGCGTTTACTAAATATTCGGCTTCGCTTGTCGGGGTTCTTACGGGGGTGGATTTTCTGCCCTCTAAAACACCACAGAGGCGTCCCCCCGGGCGAAGTGCGTGATGCGCGCGTCCCTGGGGAAGAGGTGGCCGTCGTATTGTGTCTCGTTGAGAGAAGCGTGCGCCATAGGTCGGGCGCACCGCGCGCGGCGGCAAGCTGGGCTGCTCGCTGCTGCTTCTGGCGGACGCAGAGGCCTCGCCAGAGGGGCGGGTTCGTGGGCAACGGTAGGGGGGGACAGGCATAGGGGGGGAAGCATCGACCCCGAATCGCCCATTGATCGCTGATAGGGACCCGATGGCCCCACCCCGCCCAGGAAGGTGCGGATTCACTATCGGGGGCCCATCGCCGATCTATCGACAATGTATCGCCGATTCCAGGAGGTCAATGCGTCCCCCCCATGCCTATCCCCCCCTATCGTTGACCCTCACGGGTGGGGCTCAGAGGAGGAACGTGTAAGAGATACGGAAACCGCTACCCATTGACCGTCGGCACGGTTGGATTCGCCTCGAAATATTGGTCAGAACGCGCGGGAGGTCTGGGAGGTAGCAGTATCGATGATTCTGCCCATCGGGGACCTATCCCTCCCTCTCCTTCGCCTCTTGCGGCCTCCTGCGAGGCCTTCGTCGCCACGGCTGGACTCGCCTCTGGTCAGAACGCACCCCAGGAGACATCCGAGGAGAAACGGGATCGGTACACGTTGTTCATTTCTAAGTATTCGAAACTATTTTTGATTTTGGGGGGGGCCAAGATCCTTTCATTTCTAATTGTTCTGTCCTGGGCCTCTTCCTGGCCACCAGGGGGCCAGGAAGAATTAGAAACGAGCACAATTAGAAATGAGCACGATTAGACGTGAACGACGTGTATCTTTTGGCCCCCCAGAAGGAGGGGAAATGGCAGGGCGCAAGCGGGCGGGCCAGGCAGAGGTGCAGGGCAGAAGGCCAGGCATCGGTCGGGGCCCGTTTCGGTCTGGTCGGCTGGATCCGAAGTCGAGCCCCGGCCGGCTCGATCCGATTCGGCTCGGATGTTTCGACGATCCGATGCGGCACGATGTCAAGCAGCGGCGAAGCGTCCTGGTTCGCCTGTCGCCCTACCAAACAATGTTCTAAGAACCTTGTGTGTGGTTCCCACGACATGTTCTTAGAACATTTGTGGATGAGACTGTCTTGCTTTAACACATCTGGTTAATGTTCTAAGAACATTGTGTTCGTTCTTAGAATATTTTGGGCTTCTAAGAACATTACGTGCTAGGGCTATAGGAATGCCGGGACGGTCGGTCCCTGCTCAAATGCGGCACGATGCGCGCGTGGCGGTGTTTGGCATCCCGGCGCAGCCGATCCGATTGTACTTCGACGCCGTGCCGATGCAGCCCGGTGCGACGCACACACTGCGATGCGCTGGTAGCTGCCAGAGGGGTGAAGGCAGCGGGCGGGGCAGCGGGGCGGGCAGAGGTGGTGGTCTTGGCCGGCGCTCGGGCGAGCGTCCGGGTCGTTGTTGTTGCACTGTTTTTTTGTTTAAAGAAAAGCTAGTATTATTATTGTTATTCTTCTTATTAGTAGTGTTATTATTATTATTATTGTTCTTCCTCTTCTTCTTCTTAGTATTATTATCATTATCATCCGTAGGGGCTTCGTCCCATGCCGCCGGCCCCCTGTCTCGGATAATGGGAGATGCAAAAGCTAAATCATGAGGACTGGGCGCCGCAGTGAAGCAGTGTCGGGACCTGTTTGTTTTTGGACCCTGACCCTACGGATTTGCGTCACTGGTGCCACTGAATTTCAGAACTATGGCAAATCCTATGTGTTTTTTGACCCTGACCCTACGGATCTGCGTGAGGGGTGCCGCCGAATGTCAGACATGTGGCAAATCCCTTGTGTTTTTGGACCCTGACCCCGCCGATCTGCGTGAGGGGTGTTGCCGGATGTTAGAAATGTGGAAATGCTGTGTGTTTTGGGACCCTGACCCTGCCGATCTGCGTGAGGGGTGCCACCGAATTTTAGACATTTGGCAAATCCCATGTGTTTTTTGACCCTGACCCCGCCGACCTGCGTGAGGGGTGCCAGCGAGTTTTAGAAATGTAGCAAATCCGCTGTGTTTTTGGACCCTGACCCTGCCGATCTGCGTGAGGGGTGCCACTGGATGTCAGGCATGTGGCAAATCCTGTGTGTTTTTGGACCCTGACTCCGCCGATCTGCGTGAGGGGTGTCAGCAAATTTTTAAAATGTGGCAAATCCGTTGTGTTTTTGGACCCTGACCCCGCCGATCTGCGTGAGGGGTGTCAGCGAATTTTAGAATGTGGCAAATGCTGTGTGTTTTTGGACCCTGACCCCGCCGATCTGCGTGAGGGGTGTAAATTTTTACCCACCCCAGCCATTCACAGCACACGCTCAGGGCGTGGCATAAAATGTCCGTTTTGGGCCTCCCCCCTCGCGCGGTCCATCAACAAGGAACAGTAAGCAGCAAGAAGCAGAACTGTAACAGTGGAAACTGGAAGCTGCAACTGGTACAGGAAACTGCGAACCTTCGCCCTACAGCCTGGTGGCCCTACTCTTGGGCCCGCGGATTTTGATTATTCTTATTGTTATTGTTATTGTTATTATTATTATTATTATCATTATTATTATTATTATTTTTATTATTATTATTACACTATTATTTCGGTATAGAGAGGTGCAGAGATCCCACTGGCTTTGCACGTGGGATGAACGCTGGTCATCGCCCGCCCGACGTCGGAGGAGTCCGATGAGGGGGAGTGGCGCTGCCAGGCCAGGGCCAGAAGCATCGGGCAGAGATCGGGCCCACTTGCCTGCCGACCTCGACAGCAGGGGGCAACCGCGCCGCACTGACATGCGACCGCAAATGCGCTGCGTGGTGGAGGGGACAACTGCGTGGATGTGCGCCCGGATGGCCGGGTCGGGTTGGATCTGGGCCCGGATGGACGATGAGAAACATTTGGACGAGGAGGACCCCCCTCTACCCAGAATTCGTGCCGCATTAGTTTGTCCGGTGCGCATCTGGTGGCCGGAAAAACACATCCATATCCACGGCCTCGCGGACTGGGCCCCTGAGCCGCGACCCCGTAGATCCGGGGCGTTTTTTGTCATTGTGCCTCGCACGGATGGTCCCCTTGCGACTGCGCGTGCGCGAGATCGCGCCCCGGAGCCCAGACCGCGAGGGCGTGGATACGAATTTGTTTACCAGTTTGAAACGTATCTCTATCCCTATGTTTGACATCACCTCGCCTCGATGCCGACCTGAAGGATTCCCTCAGTTTCTGAGGGCCTATCCCTAAGATTGTCCTCGCTTTTCGCTCGCCCATCTTAGGGATAGGGATCAGTTCGAGGCTGGTTAATAATCACGTTCGTCGCTCGCGAGTGCCCTTTCCCTTCTTCTGAGGGAGGCGCGCACGCACGGGGGAGACGCGCGGCCGCCCCCTTTGCGCGCAGCGTGCCCATGGGATCCCTCGTGTACCCATGGGCTCGCGCCTGGCTTCCTGGACCGCGATGGGCCTCGACGTGGATTCGGCGGCGAGCCCCCGGGGGGGGGGAAGTCAGGGGGGGCGGGCCTCCTCGGAAGGCTCGGCAGGCTTCGTGCCTTCTCCTCGGAAGCTCGCAGACAGCTTCTCGGAGGGCTCCCGTGCCTCCCCGGGGGAAGGCCTTCCCCCGACGGCGCAGACAGCGTCTCCGAAGGCCTCGGGGGGGGCCTCCGAGGAGCCCCGCCGCCTGCTGGGAAGGCCTTCGCTCGCCAGGCCTCCGACGCCAGGACCTCTCGCCACGGCTTCTCCTCACGGCGTCGACCCCAGGGAG